CCACCACTGATTGTGATCAATGTGATAGCCATGTGACCGGGTAGCCACCACTGATTGTGATCAATGTGATAGCCATGTGACTGGGCAGCCACCAGTGGTTGTGATCAATGTGATAGCCATGTGACCGGGTAGCCGCCACTGATTGTGATCAATGTGATAGCTATGTGACCAGGCAGCCACCACTGATTGTGATCAATGTGATAGCCATGTGACTGGGCAGCCACCACTGATTGTGATAGCTATGTGACCAGGCAGCCACCACTGATTGTGATCAATGTGATAGCCATGTGACTGGGCAGCCACCAGTATAGTATTACAAAAATGTACTTGTATATACTAGAGACACTTTTAAAACACTTGATCCATTGTTTATAACTTTTATTACTTCATTGTATTTTATTCATTTAAACATAATTTTATTTAGAAAATCTTAGAAGAAACTTGTGCAAATTTACCACAGATTTTTAATGAATAATTTCAATATTTAATTCATTTCAACGTAAATGATATAAATTTATACCGAATAAAATCTGATGTTGGTCACAAACACAAAACAAGGTATAAATATTACTATTCGTGTATATTGCATGCGTGATCATGCTTTTTAGAGTTTGAAACTTTTACCAGTACTGTGAGGATTCATATTAAGATCAACACATTCGTGTGACACTCAAACTGGGGATACATTAAATACCAACTCCCTCGAGCAATCAAATGGTTATATCTTATGATGAATACTTCCTGATTTAGGGATAGTTGGAAAAGTTACACGTGTACTTAAAACTTCCATACTCACTTTCAAGCTCTTCTAGTTCTACAGCCTTCTCCTTCTGCAATGTGGGCTTGGGTAGAGAAGATAATCGTTCTTCATCGGTATCTAAACCTAGCTGGCCGCCTAATCCAGTGATATTATCCTCCTGGATATCACTACTGACGTGACTGGATGAGGACAAATCTGGTGACAATTCCTGGGTCTTTGTGATCCCCTTCATCAAATAAAAAGCCGACAGAGCTGACTGTAGGTCCCATTGTTGTCCTGCACGATACATTATTATACTTAGGTGTCAGATACAGTCTGATTCAGGCTTAATACTGTGGTTGAAAAAAAAGTTCTAAACTGGCACACACAAAAAACAAAGCTAAGAAGTATATACAGATATTACACGATCACAGAATCTCAACTAGTCTGGATTTTAAGATGTTGGTAATAAGAAGTACATTTCTAAATATATTTTTAGCAACTTGTATATATATTTCATATGTTCAATGAGATTCCCTAAATTTCATAATAACACAATACTTAATATTTAAAAGAACTTCGTTTTATTACAAGAGGAAAACATATTATTTCCCAATGAAATATAAAATAAATAATATTATGAGTTTTCCACCATTAACCAGATTTCAGTTGGACCAATTAAGAGAAATAAAATAATTTAACTTTCTTGAATAATTAGCTTTAAGTTTTTCAAGGAGGACAAAAAATATCAAATGTAATCCAGTTGCCATTACATAAAAGAAAACTTATGTGATGTAGCAGAAAAATATATATATATATATCAAGCACAGTTTAGAAAATTAACCCACATTGGTGTATTGTCTACCGTTTCTTGAGCACTTTTTTATGACAGAGTTAAATATGATACAAAAAAAATTAATTTTTAACAGTTAATTTATTTTTGTACTGTTTTCTATTAAATATAACTTGCGAGTTCAAATTAGGCCTAATCTGCAAACACTTTACATTGTTGAATAAATACCTATAGAATAATAGGTTTCTTTTTTGTGAGTGTAAAAAACACTTAAATACACTTTACATTGTTGCAATATCATTTTTACTATACAAGTTTGTAAAGAATTACTAACACGTTCAGATGTCCTTTGAAACCATCACAAAATCTCTCTAACACAAGATTTTTAAATCACTTTAAAACAAGCTAACTGTGCTGTAGTACTAAGAATTTGTTTTCTATTGATCTACAGAGCAAAAGTTTATTGACATTTTTTAATGCAATTTCAAACTCTTTACTGATAATATGAAGTTTTCATGCTATAAAACAATGTTTAATTTTGACATTGTTATTAACAAACACTTGGTTCTTGTATATTTGAAAAATACAGACTATTGGCATCAGGTGGGAGACTCCCATTGCCCGAAGATGAAACTGTTCTGTTAAACTAAAAAAACTTATATAAAATAAAACTGAAGTATTTCTTCCACAACATATTTAGTTGTAAATACTTCAGAATTCAAACAATACTAAAAGTTTTATTAATTTAATATTATACAAAATTTTAAAAATCTTAAATGTTGATTTCAGATTATTCAAAATGAAACATTTAATGTTTACGACATTCCTGAATTTTTTTAGTATAATACAACACTTATAACCCCATAGTATAAATGTCAAAATAATTTTGAATAAAATGGTGTCAATTTGAGCCTCGTAACTTCAATAGAAGTATAGTTTATCAAATTCAGCCAATACCCATTTCTCAGCCTTGGTTGTCAAAGTGTTATGTAAATTACCTAACTTCACCATTGAGAAACAAAAGGTTAGTATCTAAACGTATTCTTTAACTGTAGGGGCCAATATGGTCACCAGTGTAGTGGAGACTTGGGTAGATAATAACTTAGTTTGGTCGTATGTTGCAGGAAGAAAAAATGTGTGTAAACAACTTCAGCCACAATTACAGTTCTGATCTTTTTTAAAGCTAGCTTTATCATTTTATACATCATTTGAGCTATAATACTGCATTACTATAACAAACTGCTTTTTGTGGAACTAGGTCAAGTTAAGAACTGTTAGGTTTTAACTAGATCACTATACATTTGAGCAAACCAAATTGCATTTCACTGACTAGATCAACATTTATTAGGCCAAAAAAAATCACCCCCCAAATGTAAATATATATGTATATATATATAAATTATTATAAAAGAGGTTCAAAGCTTATTAAACACATTCTAAAAAACTTAGTAACAATTTAAAATGTTGATTTCTTTATAATTTTAGTATAGCAAGAAAGTTATTTTCATTCCCCATCAGTGATCATAAACACAGTCAAACTGAATGTGGTGATATTTGAATAAAAACAGTACGATAAAATGATAATTTGTATTTGAAAACTTTACAAGAATGCAGTATTGTATATATTATATTTAACATATTTCAACACAATGTGTCTACCTAGGGCAACTGTTGAACAACTAAATGAGCATTATGTATCTTATATTTAACATAATTCAATACAATGCATATACCTAGTGTTGAACCACTAAATGCATTGTTTCTATATATGTAAAGCACAAAAATCTGTGTCTGTCTGTCCATTATCTAACTACTCCTAGGTCACTGAGCCAATCTCCACCAAACTTTGTGGGATGATAGTTTGGAACAAGGGGCATGTTAATGTTGTTAAAAAAACCTTCCCACCCCATTATTGCTGTTATTAAGCATTTATTATCTTTGATGTAAGTTAATGTTAATTACATTCATAGATAGCACCATATCTTTACACTGAACAAAAAGGACTTTATTACATTTTCTATAAGACAACGTACATATAGTGTGGGGGGAAGGGCACACAAATATCTTATACGGCCCAGAAAGTGTGCTACAAATCTCTATTGAGGAATGCAATGATAACAAATGACCATCAATATTGAAATAATACATAAACTCAGCTAAAGTTTCTACTCCAACAGCCACCATAAGGCTGATATGAAGAGCCATTTTTTGAGTTACACCAACTTCTTACTTTGACCTGTGACCTTTCAACTTTGGCCCATAAGACACTTCTGCGGCCAATGACCATCTATTAATCAATCATGTGAAACACTGTGGAAGGACATTAAGAGCTGGGTGTTGAAAGTAGGTAACAGAAACACCCCCTACCACCACTACTTTCACAGTTACCACTTCCTACAAAGTAAATTCAACACAATATGCCTATTGAAAACAACTGAATGCAGCATTATATATTTTATATCTAATATAATTCAACACAGTATGTAGACCTAGAACAACTGTTATATCACTGAATGCAGCATTGTATATTTTATATCTAATATAATTCAACACAATGTGTAGACCTAGGACAACCATTATACCACTGAATGCAGCATTGTATATATTATATCTAATATAATTCAACACAATGTGTAGACCTAGGACAACCATTATACCACTGAATGCAGCATTGTATATATTATATCTAATATAATTCAACACAGTATGTAGACCTAGAACAACTGTTATATCACTGAATGCAGCATTGTATATTTTATATCTAATATAATTCAACACAATGTGTACATCTAAAACAACTGTTATACCATTGAATGCAGCATTGTATATATTATATTTAACATATTTCAACACAATGTGTCTACCTAGGACAACCATTATACCACTGAATGCAGCATTGTATATATCATATCTAACATAATTCAACACAATGTGTCTATAGAGGGCAACTGTTGAACCAATGAATGCAACATTGTATACATTTAAGTAAAATTGTTATTATTAAGTAGAGTCAAAATCATTACAAAGAGTCTTGTTGACAGTAGTATATACTTTAATATCAGCTCTGAAGGTTCTTCATAGTCAACAGGTTAACATATCAGCAAAGCTAATGTTAAAGAGCCAAGAAATCTTTCTATGTGGCTGTTAGAAACTTAAACATGCTCCAAGACTCCTTGAAAATTGTTTGAGCTACAACAGACTTGAACAAAGCCAAGATGGTATCCTAAGATATATTCTGTAATTGGTACCTGATTCTTTACTGCTCTCTGAGAGGTGTATTAGTAAAGAATAAGCAATAAAAGTGATAAAAACAGCGTTTTCACTTAATTTCACTGGCTCATGTATGCTGTTTACTACCTTGAAGAAATAGTAAGCATTTGTAATGAGGCATGTGTCAAATTAAACTTTCATGTAATGAATAAATAAATATGCAAGCCTGAACATGCAACAGTAATAGTAAAACATCAGATTAGGGTTATAACCTGCATCATCAGAAGAAAAAAAATTAAAGTGCACAGAACCAAAATGACATTATTAAATCATTAATGAACTTACTGACCTAATAGTTGGAAAATATTGTAAAATAACTTCATGTACCTTACACCACTAGAGCTGGGTTATTAAATCAATAACCTTGTTGTGTGCAAGACTTACGATAAGATTGTTTTAACAAAAACTAGTTACAGACACTGACTAATAACAGTCTAACAAAATTAAGTTATTAATATATTCACATGAACAGTATTGTTGTCTAATTATGCTTACATCTAGGTCGACAGAAAGTAATGAAACGGGAAAACAAACATCTGGAAGTCATCAAGTGCTGTGCTGCATATAGTACTGTAAGTTAGTTGGTTTGTTGTTCACAGCACATATGTTTCTAAAGTCTTTTTCCTGGCCGTACTTTAAAACGTACATGTATGAATCATTTCACTTTTTTTCTTTCTAAACTTCAATCTGTATGGAAAAACGTCTTGCTTAAAAGCGTGTGATGTTTTTTGTACTTATAAAGTTTTTAATTACTTTTTAGGTTTTTTCAAGCTGATAATGGAATTAGAAAAATGTTCACAAAAGGTTAATAATTAAAGAATTTTTTGGTATTGCTGTACTTTAAACATTTCTTATAAAATTACAATTTCTAAATTATTAATAATTTTAATATTTTTAAAGAGGTCATCTAGTAACATCACAAGTTTTCTTGCCAAACAATAAATGTTTGAACCGTCTGTTTTTATAGGATTGTAGGGAATATATTTTCACTGAATTATATATTATCAAACTGTAACAACATTGACACGAATCTATGAACAATTATTTTTCATAATGAATTAGTTTAGGTAATAACAGAGCACTAAATCCAGATGTCCCAGTTCTCTGTAACAATCTTATACTCTTTTCTTTACCTACAGTTATTTTTAATGAAAAATTATTTAGTTATGAATATCCTATTTTATTACAACTTACAGCTTTTACAGTAACGAAGATTTGTTTTTACTGTAAAAGCTGTAACTTGTGATAAAATAATACTTAATCAGTATATAAACTCAAAACAAAACTAATAAATATCCTAGTTTTTTTTGTAACGATCCTACACTTTTTTTTAACCTTATTAACTCTGATTGATCATACAGCACACCTTACTATACTGGTCAAATTTTTTAAGGCCATGTAAAAGGCTATCATTCAATTAACCTGATAATGTTATGTTTCATATTTGACTTATTTATAATCAATATTACAGAGAAATATTTAATTTTGTAAACAAAAATAAACAAATTTTAGTAGAGTAGTCTTGTGAAAAACTTGTAAGGAGAAATCCAAGGAACAGT